GCATTGCTGGGCCCGACCCATAAATAATTGATCGACAAGACCAATCTTATATTGGTAGCCTCTGTGAAACCCTTGTCATGGGGGGTAGTATACAATACAACCCCTTTCACAGTGCTTGTCCTGAATTGTTGGACTGGCATGGTGTTTGTTGGTTGGCTTGACAGTGATAGTGTTGGATTAGAAGAGCCTCGACTGGACTGAATTTCTGCTGTCATACAGTTTCATCAGGCAAAAATGGGGGGTGATAAGCGCAAGCCGACCGCCCTCGCGCACGCCAAACTGCACGCCAGGCGCAGATTGGCGTGCGCGCCTGCACGCCAATCCTCTTTGGCGTGCAGGCGCGCACGCCAATCTGCGCCTGGCGTGCAGTTTGGCGTGCGCGAGGGGGGTTGGCTTGCGTTTATCAACCCCCATTTTTGCCTGATGAAACTGTATGACAGCAGAAATTCAGTCCAGTCCAGGCTCTTCTAATCCAACACTATCACTGTCAAGCCAACCAACAAACACCATGCCAGTCCAACATTTCAGGACAAGCACTGTGAAAGGGGTTGTATTGTTTACAACCCCCCATGACAAGGTCTCCCAGAGGCAACCAATATAAGATTGGTCTTGTCAACCAATTTTTTATTGGTCGGGCCCACCAATGCATTAGAACAAGGGAAAAATGTATTGGTTGGCCTGGCCAATATAAAATTGGTCAAGGCCAATCTTATATTGGTCAGCTCCGGGCATCCTTATTATGGGGGGTTGTAACCAACACAACCCCTTTTTCATTGAAGCCAACCACAGGATCTGACCCTTCCCTCTGTAAGGCCATGACAGCAAGCTGAGGTGACCCACCTGCTACCTGTGGTATACACAATTTACCTACCAGCTGGTGATTATTATTTCTTGGAAAGTGGGTGAATCCCACACCTGTCCACCAAGGAGCAGAACTAAGTAGCACAAACACAAGTATTGGTAGTGTAACAGTATGGTCAAAATCATTTAAGTCTTGAAAATTTTGTAACACTACTTTCTTGAAGAAGAATTTTTTTGACCTGATAACCATCATCCATTAAGTCAGTATGGAAGTTATTTCCCGCAAACAATTTTCAATTAAGATTCCGGGCTCATCAGGTTATGTTGAAATTCTTCCTTCTTTCCACTCATCCCTGAAATCTCAATTTGAGTTCTTCTTAGACCCCATTTGGACACATTTTTATACATTAGGGGGTATCAAATATAACAAAATCCACCACTTTTTAATTGACTGGTTTTGCAAAATCCACACTTACCAAATCCACCTTTGCAGTGACCAAATAACCTACTTCTTTTGTCAGGGGCGTATCAAATATAGCCTAAATCAACCCATTTTTTAGCCCAAAATTCTTGATTTTCAAATTTAAAATCCAATTTCAAATTTCAACCATCCCCCATCCTCCACGATTCCCTCAATCCTCCACGATTCCCCACATCCTCCACAATTCAAACCCCACTCACCCCACGGCTTCTTCAACATCTCCTCTTAACTCACCCCTGCAAATCACTCGTCATCAAACCAACTCTGATCAATTGATTAGTTCAAGGTATTTATCTTCAACTGAACTAAATTATATTTTAATGGCCTCACAAATTTGTTATTTTTCCACTACTTGCACCCAACAGATGCCACCAAAAAAAGCTTCCAGAATCCCAAACATACGATCGCTTCGAACCCCTCCAAAGAAGAAGAGGGCCACTCCCAAAAATACACGATCAAAGAAGAATGATGAGGAACTTGGTTCATCCCAAGGTCATCTAAAAAGAGAGGACTATGAAATCATCATCGACTGGCTCAGAGATAAGAAAAACTATGTTGCGTGTTTTGGTGATGGGAAGGCTCCTGCGATTGGACGACGACCAAAGGCGATGATAAATGGTTACGAGTTGATGGCGATTCACCTGCGAAATGTATCTCCGACTAAAATCAATCTCACCCCCCGACAGATGAAAGATCGTTTCAAGTCATTCAAGGACAAGTATAAGAAAGCTCATACGAAATCTATGTCAACTGGATTTGGTCTGACCCCAGCTGATCGGAAGGCTGGAATAACAACGATCGAGGAAAAACTTGAAAACATGTGTCCTCTCTATGCTGAAATGGACGAAATCTTTGGGAAGCGGCCTGACGTCAATCCATTGTTTTTGGCCGATGCAGAGGATGAAGACGATGAAGATGATGAATCTGGATCCTCTTCTGAGCACGATGGTTCCGATTCCTCATACGATTCAGACAAGATGGATTCATCCAAAAGTTCTGAGTCCACTGCGATTCACCCTTTGTTGAAGAGTGCTACTTCACAAGTCGATATCGTGGCCCTGGAGCAAGAAAACACAGGAGATGTAAGTCAATTGGATTCATTTGTTGTCAGTGTTCTGTTTGCTGATTTGGAAAGATATCGCCTTGTCAAACAGAGAATGGCATCTCCAACTGGGCAACTTCCAATGGATGACGAGGCAGGCGTCCAGGCTGGGGCAACAGGTGTAAGTGGCATTTTTTGGTGATGGAAAAAAACTACAACTATGTTGACTATCGTTGTCTTTCTCATCCAGGAACCCACTACATCGGGTGAGACTGTCCCCGATCCAGCTTCGAAGTCTAAGGCTGTGGGGACCAAGAAGAAGTCACCAAAGAAGAAGAACAAAGGTGATCGTGTGCAATCTACAAGCAAGGCACCTGCTCTGAGCGACTCTGGTGAAGACGATTCTGAGTACAAATCCCCACGGAAGAAAACGAGTGCAAAGAAGAAGCGCAAAAGAAGGTCTTCGGGATTGAATGCTGGTTTGACACCCGAAGAGCTTGCATTGGACAATCAAACCGACGAGGACTCCTCCGACACCCCGGCTCCAAGCCCAAAAAAAGGAAAGTGCCGGGCATCGAACTCAAAGAATATCAATCCCAAAAGCCACGGTTGCCCCTCTGCTGTTCCCAACTCTTTTCTAGCCTACGAAGAATATGCAATGAAAAGAGATGCTGGTCGGTCATCTTACATTCCACTCACTTTTGAACTACCTGGTAAATTAACGATTCTTCCTTTCTCCTGGATTTCTAGGAAAATCTGAGGTCGCTCAGGATAGTCTTGGCTTTGAAAAGCTGAAGTACGACAGGATGATTGAAAAGGAAGATAACGGTCTGAAATTGGAAGATAAAAAATTCGAGCATAGTAAAGAAATGGAAGGTAAACGATGGGAGCATTCAATCAAGTTGGATGATAAAAAGTTGGATATGGATAAGGAGGAGAAGGCAAAAGATCGAGCTTTTGAGTTGCAAAAACTGGATCGCCAAACAAATGCCGAGGCTCAAGCGAAGAAGATGGAGGTGTTAGTGAAGTGTTTGGACTCTGGGAAATCAATGGAAGACATAGAGAGGATTGCAAAACTTTTCAACTAGCCTCCCGTTCTGATTATCTTGTTGTAGTATGACTTAACTCAACGGTTTCATCGCATATTGGAAATAAAAGTCCCATCAAGACAAAAAAACACATGTGATGAATTACTTTTTTTGGGATGACACCACAAAGAAATTGATAGACAGTCAGTTTATGGAGCAAGTAAGCAAAATGAAATGACGAGAAATGAGGTTAGTTAAGAGAAAACAGGGCTTTTTTTTAGTTGAGGGAGTTTGTTGTAAAAAATAACGAAATTATGGATATGCCAGACCCCATGCCAACGGATAAGAGAAAAATCAATCACATGAAAGAGATATGGTAACAGAGAAGCTAACGTCTTTGACATTTGTTGGAGGGCTGTCGTCTTTGACTTTTTTTGAAGGGTTGTTTCGACAAAGGTTTGTTGTCATTGTTATTTTCAGAGGAAGGTTCGTCATCGTTTTGTTGTCTTTTTTTGGGTCTGGGATAAGTTTGAGAGTTATCGAGGATTACACGCATGTCACGAACTTTCCAGTGTTTCTTTTTGGGATCTTTCTTATAGTCACCCTTTTGGTTTTTTTGGATTACCTCTTTGGTTTTTGTCGGGAGTTGGACAGAGTAGC